CACTTAAGACGTAATCAACTGTGTTTACGTGAATACTCGTCAAAACGGACAATTCGACATCGTTTTGTGTGTAATTCTCCGTTCAAGCGATGCGAAAGAGTACTCGCGCGCTGTGAGAGCCGCTTTCTGTGTGTGAATGCTTCAGTGTCTGCGCTCAGAAAACCGGACCGAATTGAATTCTCTCTTGCGTCGTTAGATTTATCCATATGTCTGCTCTTCTCTTACTCCCACATATTGACATTTTTGAACGTTTTATGCGACGTGCAGCAAGTGTATGTTAGCTTATGTCCTGCCGGTTCATATGTACGCATCTAACCTCCGAGTCCTAACCACGCAGCAGATTCGTTCTCAGTGAATGTCTTCCCAAATTGTCCCTCCCTAACATTTTCGCCTCGTTTTTATTCATTGACGAAAATATCAATAGATTTACGTAATAGTTTTTGTCATTCAAAAAGAGTTTTAGTTCGTTGTCGTCTGTGAAAAAAATGTCGTTGACGAAAATGATTCGTCAACGAAATTAACACAGCTGTGAGCAATATACTTAGATGATGGATTATGGTGAGTTTGAGCTCTTTTTAATCAAGAGAATTTTCTGAAAATAATGCTGTGCAATCTTCTATGTTATATGCATGTTTCATGAAGTTACAAGCAAAAACGCCACATGAAAGCTACCTTAGATTTTTTTGCTAAACTACATGTCGCCTACAGTTTTATGTTTTATAAATTCATGAGGAATATCTTTAGATATTAATGACGGATTATAGAAAGATTGGACTTTTTAATAAGGAGAATCTGCTCTAAATAATGCGGTCTATAGGTGTACAATCTAAGTGTCACGATACGGTGTGAAATAAGCGCACGAAGAAGATGAATGAAGGCAAACAGTCTTTTAATAAACCCACACAGAGGGTAAATCCACAGAAGGCAGGCACACACGTAATCCACAATAGACATCTACAATACCGGAGAAGGGAACACAGGACAGACTAGAACTTAAATAGGGAGGCACATGAGGATAAGTAATGAGACACAGGTGAATCAAATTATGAAATCAAAGGGGAGACAGAAACTAGGTCACACACTGAACACATGAGGGATGAAAACACAACAAAACAGTCCAAAGGTGTGACACTAAGCAAGTTGCTAGCAATAAAGTGACATAAATGCTGCATTATTTTCATATGGGTCCGGGGGTGATTTCTTGTACAAAAACTTGGTCACTATAATAATGTGTTACTTTAAGTATTTTATATTTTAAAAACGTCACTTACACTGAATACAGTAGACTCTCTGTGTCTAAAATATACAAATATATTTTGACTGACACATACCAGCAAATACCCAAACAAAAGACACAAATTCAAAAAGTTATATCAAACACAACTGTACCAAGAAAAAAACACACAAATAAAATCTCCTTAATATCTCAACAATTTCTCAGACTAATTGATAAAGCCTCCTCTAGAGCATCAGCAGTGGTCTCAACAAGTTTGCTTTAATTTATCAATTTAATTTATCTCCAGACATGTTTTTTAAAAGCAGAACTAATTTTAATAATAATAATAATTCCTTACATTCATATAGTGCTTTTCTGGGCACTCAAAGCGCTTTACATAGAAGGGGGGGATCTCCTCAACCACCACCAGTGTGCAGCATCCACCTGGATGATGCGACGGCAGCCATAGTGCGCCAGAACGCCCACCACACACCAGCCTGATGCGCCGCCATAGTGCGCCAGAACGCCCACCACACACCAGCCACAGGTGGAGAAGAGACAGAGTGATGAAGCCAATCAGCAGATATGGGGATGGTTAGGATTTCACTCAAGGTAATTTTAACTAGAGTGTTGCATTTTTAGAACTTTGTGTCTTAAACAAAACAGTGTAAAATACATGAAATGCCAGCACAATGGTCAAAGATGTCCATTTAGCATGTTTGCATAGAAAACTGATGAAGAAAGTAGCCCTTAGAGGCCATTTACACAGAATTTGTTTAAAAACAAGAGACGCAGGGCAGTGGAATGGAAAACGCAATGTCTAGAGACATTTTTTGAATTATTCTTCTCCTTCCAAACAGCTTTTAATTTTTTAGAACTGTGTCAAACGGCAATGCAAAAGAAGTGAGATGTGATCAAGCACGTCCTGTCCAGCTATTGACACTGTGTGGAAAAATATTTTTGTTATTAGGCTACATTGTTTGTAGTCCAGCCATTTTAGATTGTTTCAAGTCTTTGAGCTCTTTTATAGTGACTCATGTTTCACTCATACCCAAGCACTCTGCATTTCAAGTGCAATACTTTAGTGATCTACCGATCAATTTTACTATATGTGACCCTGGACCACAAAACCAGTCATAAGGGTCAATTTTTTTTAGCTGAAAGCTGAATAAATAAACTTTCCATTAATGTATGGTTTGTTAGGATAGGACAATATTTGGCCGAGATACAACTATTTGAATATCTGGAATCTGAGGGTGCAAAAAAATCTAATTATTGAGAAAATCGCCTTTAAAGTTGACCAAATGAAGTTCTTAGCAATGCATATTACTAATCAAAAATTAAGTTTTCTTTAAAGTTGACCAAATGAAGTTCTTAGCAATGCATATTACTAATCAAAAATTAGGTTTTGATATATTTACAGTAGGAAATTTACAAAATATCTTCATGGAACATGATCTTTACTTAATGTCCTAATGATTTTTATCATTAAAAAAATCAATAATTTTGACCCATACAGTGTATTTTTGGCTATTGCTAAATATACCCGTGCTACTTATGACTAGTTTTGTGGTCCAGGGTCACATATCAAA